CAGTAGCATGAGGTAGACCCTTAAAGGACTTGCTTCTTCATCATGCCATTCATCTGGTGCCCCCTGCTGGACGGTACTTAAAACTAAAACTTCTCCATGAACCAAATCTGTTTAAATAGCATAAAGGACATTGGAGAAAACAACACTGAAACTGTACAGGGAGAATGTTTCAGTGCCTAAGAAAATGTAGCACTCTTGATCAACCCCAAGATGAGACAAACACAGAGTTCTTGTGAAACGAATACCAGCATCTGTAACATTTGGAAGTGAAAGTTACACTGAGGATACTTTTTCGTTCAACCAAGGCTGGCCTTATATAAAGCTCATCACAAAACATGCTCCGTAAAAAATCTGCATTGACGCAGAAATATATATCCGTCCGACTGAAAGTCTCGTTGAGGAAATAAATACTCCTTTCCTTGTGATGATCATAATGCACTCCATGCTTATGCCAGCAGGAATGGCTCTTGCCGAAGACGCTGGGCCACAGAGAAAGTTACTCTGGAAAGAACAAGGTTTATTTATTGATGATGATTGATGTTGGAAGTTTTCATTTGACTTTTTAAAATCCATCTCATCACCAAATGGACACTGTGTGGATACAGCTTTGGAATACCAATGTAGTCAAGCATCTTTGGGCACATATACGTCGTTATCACTTGGCCAAATGGTAGCCAGTGTTCCTTGAATGCTTAAGGGAACAACATATTACATATATTTTTTTAAAGAAAACTACATTCATTTTGTTTCACAGGCTGTCAAGAGATTTTAGGATGACACTTTGGACTCCTGACTCTGTATTTTTGTTACCTTATTTTACACAAAACAAAGCAAAATAATCAGATTTTTCTTTTCTGGGGTTCATTATTTCACCCTAGAATTATTATTTCAAATATTTCAAAGAACTGTCATTCAGACTGTGATTTTTTTTTTTCCCCCCCAGACTGTGCGTAATATTAGTGCTGGTAATATGTTAGATGTCAGAAATTTCTGATATGCACCATTTGAAATCTGATTCAAACTGTACATGTCTTTGTATGTGACTTGTTTGGTTTTATGCATTGATATTTCTCATACTAGCCCACAGCGATTGGAGATTTATGATGGATTTCCGGTGAGGCCTTAGGCTGTACTTAGATTGTTGTGTACAGTCCTTTAATATGGCAAACACTTTTTCCAAAACACTTGTTCAGACCCTTGAACTGTTGAAGAAATTGAAAAATTTAAGCACAAAAGGCACTTTTATATGGTTGTTTGTGTGTGTGTGTGTGTGTGTGTGTGTGTGTGTCTGTGTTTGAGAATGTTTTCTCAATTCCTTCTCCAAAATCAAAATGATCAATTTCCATTTTAGTTCAGTGTTGTACTAAGTTTACTATTTGATTCAGTAAGCAAAGGAAGTCATAGTCAGAACAGACCTACACAGAACAACAGACCACCTATATTATGCTCTGTATCATTTTCTATGAAGCAAATTAGAAGACATGTTTTCAGTACTAAATGATGTGATGTTCTCTATCTTTTGACTCCGTCGATGAGTGTTAAAATGTAAATAGACAAAATGAACCATTTACAGTGCTGACAGAAAAATCATTTGGGTCATTCAACAAAAAGGGTGTAAAAAATTACTTCATCAGTGAATAGCTGATGTGCTAATATGCATATTTCTTAAAAAAAAAAAAAACTAAAATCCAGTAGCTTTATTTTAGTTTATTTTCATTATGAGGATTAATTTTCTAGCCTGTGTACATTTTGATGAAAACTAAAAATATAGACATAAAAGCTAGCAATTATTCTCTGTCTGTATATTTTTGATTTCACTGGACATAAAAAGGATTTATTGTGCCCGGGTTATGTGCTCCCACTGTTTGTGTCATATTTCCACCTTTGAAAGAACTGAACTATTCCATAACTCAGAAAAATGTTGTCGTATCAACATTATAATCCTTTTAGAATACAAACACTTTCACTTTATCTTATATTTTGTTACATTTGTCAGTAGGGAAAATTGGGGTAAATTGACGGTCTGATTGTAATGAATTGATTGTGGAAATTATATTTTAAAAAACTGTTATTTGTAGCATGAAATGGATCAATGCAATTTATTACCAGTTAAACATTATATAGCAGACATAATACAAAAATGTACTTTTGAATCATCTTATTAGACTGCAGAAGGTACTGATTTTATAGAATGACCCATTCATATTCATTTCCAGGGATTTTGACTTTGCTGATTGTATCCCAGCAGGCCACTGTGACTTCTAACAGTGCAGCTATAAGCTTAAATTGAGATTGTGTTTCTTCACTGTGAGCAGCACTCCGTTTGAACTCTCAGCCATTGCGCAAATGTTAAGAACATTTAAATGAAAAAATAACATTTTTATTGTTCATCGTCAAAATCCAGTTAAGAAACCCCTGACTTGAATGCCTGTTCTGTATTTTAAACCACATTTTGCCTTAAATGTGAATCTGATGCATCCCTGGTCCCATCGTAATTGTAAAGAAAACAATTACTTTGAGATAAAATTGCATTGCTATTACTGTTCTACATTTGCCTCTCGAGCCTCTTTGGCTTTCTATTGGAAACAGAAAAAGTCAAAAGGGATAGTAGATAGATATTTTAGCACTGAAGGTAAAATAAATTATAAATGTGACATTATACATTTCTGGAATTGCTGGCATTGCAGTGTGGACAAACACTTATTCGTTGTTTATTTACATGTGCTATGTTCTGTCTTTTCCTTTTTTCCAAAGGTTCAACAGCTTTATCATGTTTCATTTCATCATTGTGTGGTACTTTTCTTTCCCTGGATTTACCAGCAGGTTTTGAAATAAAGTAGCACGATTGTGGATCAGTGTTCTATGTAAAGATGTGACAAAATGAAACTTGTACAGTAAATAAAATCACTTAAATTCTCAATTTTTCACCCCAAGATGCTGCTCATTTGAATTTTTCATTTTAAAATTACTCATGCCCATTTACTCATAACAAGTGATTAAAATATTTATTTGTTCATTCATCAGTTCAGTGTGAAATCAGAATTGATCTGTTTACTTAAATGAATAACTTCCCTTAAAATTGAAATTTGCTGAAAATTAACTCATCCTTAAGCCATTCAAGATGATGATGAGTTTGTTTCTTCTTCAGAACAGATTTGGAGAAATCTAGCATTACATCACTTGCTCAAAAATGGATCCTCTGCAGTGAATGGGTGCCGTCAAAATGAGAGTCCAAACAGCTGATAAAGACATCGCAATAATTCAGTAATCCACACGACTCCAGTCCATCAATTAATGTCTTGTGAAGTTTTTTTTTTTTACTTTAAGCCATCGCTTCTGGCCAAAATGCAAGTGGCTTTTTCACTGGTGAAAGCAATATCGATAGAGGACTCCTTTTTTTAGCCGGAAGCGATGGTTAAAGTTTAACAGGAAGCAAGTTAAAAACATCTTAATGAGTTTGTTTCTTACAAACATGCAGCATTTTACTTCACAAGATGTTAATTGATGGACTGGATTCATGTGGAATACTTGTGGATTATTGTGATGTTTTTATCAGCTGTTTGGACTCTCATTTTGACGGCACCCATTCACTGCATATGATCCAATTGGGGAGCAAGTGATGTAATGCTAGATTTCTTCAAATCCCCAAAGAAACACTCATCTACATCTTGGATGGCCTAAGGGTGAGTGAATTTTCAGCAAATTGTAATTTTGGGGTGAACTTTTTTAATTAATACATGTTCACAGAGATAACTGATGGACAACTGATAAAAAATAGGCATGTTCCTTTGCAACTTTCATTTTTAATTATAAACAATGACAAAAATCACATCAGTAATGATTATGAAACAATTTGTTGTATCACACCGTGTCATTCTGCAGTCCTAAATAAAAACACCTAAATAAACATAATTCAGAATATCCTTTGATTATGCGGTTTTCAATATGATTCTCACTTGCACACAGTTTTCTGGATGGCAACAGAAGGAAACGGGGGGTAAAAGATCAAGGCGACCAGCTACACCTCCAGCACTGCCTGCTGCCTCTTTCCTGTTGCCATAGAAACTGATCCCAATCCATCATTATCACAGTGCCACATAAGGACATGGACATTGGTGTGTACTAGTCGGCATGGATGGTAGACGCTCTGAAGGCCTGGGAAAGAGAAGAGGGAGTGACGAAACCAGAAAGAAATGTGTATGGAGAATGTTGATGGGTGGTCAGAAATAAATTCTCTCGGCTGAAGTAAAAAGCGTATGCTGGTTTTGTGATCTTGGTTGGCATGTTGGCTGTTGTCAGAGGGGTTTAAGGAAGTGTTCAACTCCGCTAGGCTGGCAGGCCAGTTCCAACCCAAGTGGTTTTAAAATGGCATGGTTAGAAACAGACGTGATACAAAAAAATGAGCTTGAAATCCCACTATTCATTCCATAGGCCTATAGATAATGAGCAAAGGTTAGCCCTGTCCGAATCAATCGTTCGAATTGAATTCAAATCTTTTAAATGAATCTATCTTTAAATTAATCGATTGATATCTGACAAAACTGGTGTGAACAATTACGAATTGAACTGAATCGGTCCAACTCACTACTGACTCACACATATCGGTTCGCAATGAATCGAGAACAGGTGAGTGAGCTGATATTTGAAATGAACAGATGATTTGAATGATGAGGAAAAACTACTTTAAAACAAAATATTTTACAGCTTTGTGATTATTGTTTTTAGGTGTCAATGAATTTCTGAATCTCTCTCAGAAATTTGACCAAAACCAAGCCAAATGAGGACAACTCCAAAATAACTAAAAGCTTTTTTTTTTGGTATTTATTTTTTCTTTTCTTTTTTTCAAAATTGCATAATTTTATTTTTGTATTAATAATTAAAAGCTTGCTTGGGCACGTGATGGCGAAAAAAGAATAATGACTCCGTGTTTTTGAACTTGTTCTCTGAAACCGTTTGAAAGAACCGATTCTCAGAAATGAGTTGGACTTCACTACTTCACTGAAAGAAAGAATCAGTGACGTAAGCATAAGGGGGTGGGGTCTCGGGGTGAGGAGCCATGGCTTCAATGAAAACTGAGGTAAGAGCAGAGCAGCAATTCTACGTTATAATTTTGTTTATCTGTGTACTCATGCGGTTTTGGTGAGTTTGACAGACCGTGTGAGGCATATTGAGCTGGTGGTTGAGGGTTTGAGCGGCAATCCTGGGCAGGTTTCGTCACGGGTCTTTCAAAGAGCCCGCCTGACGGTCTTGTTTCAGTGTGAAAACTCGGTGCTTTTGTGCGAGCGAGTGTGCGTGAAGCTTTGTGAAGGGAAATAATGGGGCGGCCTCCCCTTTTGCAGTGCGGCTGCTGTTGCCTGAAAACCTGAATACAGTTCGCCTGTGCTCTTTGTACACGGCAAGGTGATTGTTGTTATGCTGGTTCCAGGGCACTATCCGGCATCAGATGCTGCTGCTGTGAAACTAATCAAATAAGGGCATGGGAAGGCACATGGGGAGCAGGACACACACAACACATGGAACAGAGTCTGACAGATACGAATTCTACTAATAAGAACAATATAAACGCGCCAAGGATTAATGAGCTACTGGATTCATGAATATTAATCAGCCAGAGTGAAGATTTAGTCGCATATGCGAGTGATTTACTCGCAATGTAGAGGGTTGCAGTATCATGACTCAAGTGTGTGGCGGCACTGACCCAGATCCGGCGTAAAGACAACGTCACGCCGGATCTGGGGCGTTTGAGAGAGGCGGGGCATTGAGGACCTACAATAATGTACAGTATTTGAAAAAGAATGTGTTTTTTTAACATTAAAGCATGTCAACATATTCTGTTACACCAAATACACAAAATAATGATCTTTAAAAAAGCATCATATGACCCCTTTAAAGTGACTGCAGCCTAATGTACTTGCTCCTGTCTATGTCATTAATGTTAATCAAACAAGAAATGACAGAGAAAATAATTTGCTGTTCTGAATCAAATAGCATTTGTAGCTTTAACAAAGATGAATCTTTATTTACTTTATACAGTACAGTGTTATTTTGCATTTGATTTCTGTACCTGAATGCTATTGTTAGACCAACCTGAAAAATTAAACCTCTGTTTATTTTAATTGTATCTTTGTTGTATTGTATTTATTTGCTTTATTGCTTGTAATTTGTTTATTTATTTATTTTTTGTTACTGATTGTTCACCTAACTTTACAATAGTTAGGCTAGCAGATTTTGCTGTAGTGCCAAAATGTGTCAAAACACAGAAAACAATATTTTTAACTTTAAAAAAAAATTTTAATTTAGTTATTTTAGTATGGCAAGGCTAGTAAAAATTTTGGCAAGTAAAATGTGTTTTTAATTCTTTATAATTTTTTGTGCAGATGTGCTCCCCCAAAATCAACCCACTAAGTGTAGAATGATTCATTCTTTTCAAATAAATCTATTGAGGTCATCAGGTGATAATTCCTGTATTTCTTAATATAATATTTAGCAAAAGCAATATGCTTTGTTGAATCTACATAAATGCAACGAAAAAATCTGCTGCAAAACTGGCTAGTGGGACACTGCATGTCATTAGGCAACTATTTATTGCATCAAAATGCAAAACCTGACTAGATCAGGCCATCCTTCCAAATTAACAATCAAAAAAGAACGGCGGTCAACCCTCTACGGACACCTTGGCAATTGAATCGCCATTGGCTAGACGCACCAAGGATTAATGAGCTACTGGATTCATGAATATTAATCAGGTTGTGTGCGTTCGCTCGAACTGATTTGCTGAAATCAAATGAGGGACGATAATAGGTGAGCACCAGCCAATGAGATTGCCGTTTGCGCATTAGTTTTGCCCACTACCGGAGAAAGCGACAGTTCTTAAAAGCTGAAGAATTCCAAAGGAACATTGTTATTTTGACAGGAAAATACAACAAAGTACATCGTTTACATGTAGCGCGTCAATTCTCTCTCTCTGCGTGTGTGTGAGATAAAGCGACGGCGAGTTGTGCGCTTCACACTAGAGTTTACGGTACGTCAAATACAGGTGCATTGC